GTAATGTAACCTAACTTAATTAACCTAACCTAACCTAACCTAAAATTAAGTAATCCAACCTAATGTAAACTAACCTAAAATAACTTAACCTAAAATAACCTAACCTAGCCTAACCTAACTTAACCTAACCTTAAACAACCTAACCTAACCTTCTCTAAAATAACATTACTTAATTATCCTAATTTAACTTAACCTTACCTAAACTAACCTAACCTAAACTAACCTAACCTAACTTAACCTAATCTAACCTAACTGAACCTAACCTAACATAACCTAATCTAACCTAACCTAACATAGCCTAACCTGACCTATCCTATCATAACCTTACCTAACCTAACGTAACCTAAACTAACTCTACCTTAACTACCATAACCTAACCTACCCTAACCTAAAGCTGCCTAACCAAACCTAAACTGAACTAATCTAACTTAACCTAAACTAACCTGACATAACCTAACCTAACCTAACCTGCCCTAAAATAACGCAACCGTACCTAAACTAACTTTGTTAGGTTTGGTTAGGTTAAGTTACATTAGGTTAGGTTAAGTTATGTTAGGTTAGGTTATGTTAAGTTAGGTTAAGTTAGTTTAGATTAGGTTAGTTTAGGTAAGGTTAGGTTAGTTTGTTTCTTTAGGTTAGGTTAGTTTAGGTTTTTGTAGGTTAAGTTAGGTTAGGTTAGGTTAAGTTAGGTTAGGTTAAGTAAAGTTAGGTTAGGTTAGGTTAGGATAGGTTAGGTTATTTTAGGTTAGGTTATGTTAGGATATTTTAGGTTAGTTTAGGTTAGGTTACTTTAGGTTAGTTTAGGTTAGGTTACTTTAGCTTAGGATTGTTTAGATTAGGTTGGTTTAGGTAAGTTTATGTTAGGTTAGGTTAATTATGTTAGGTTAGGTTAGGTATGGTTAGGTTGGGTTAGGTTAGGTTAAAATAGGTTAGGTTACGTTAGGTAGATTAAGTTATGTTTGGTTATATCCGATTAGGTTATGTTATATCAGGTTAGGTTAGATTAGGTTAGTAACGTTCGGTTAGGTTAGGTCAGGTTAAGATAGGTCAATTTAACACTACCTAACACCCTTAATAAACTAACATAAGCTAACCTAAACTAATCTAACCTAATCTAAAGAGACATAACGTAAACTAACCTTACGTTACCTAATCTGACATGACATAACCTGACCTAACCTAACCTAACATAACTTAACCTAACCGAACAACCTAACCTAACCTAATCTAACCTAATTTAAACCAATCTAACCAAACCTAACCTATCCTATCCTAACATATTTTAACCTAAACTAATCTAACCTAACGTAAACTAACGCAACCCTACTTTACCTACCATAACCTAACCTAACCTACCCTAACCTAAACCTACCTAACCAAACTTAAACTGACCTAACATAACATAACTTAAACTAACCTTACCTAACCTAACCTAAATAACGCAACCGTACCTAAACTAACTTTGGTTAGGTTTGTTTAGGCTAAGTTAAGTTAGGTTAGGTTAGTTTAGAATAGGTTAGTTTAGGTAAGGTTAGGTAAGGTTGTTTGTTTAGTTTACGTTAGTTAAGTTAGTTTAGGTTATGTTAGCTTAGGTTAGGTTAGTTTAGGTTAGGTTACTTCAGGTTAGGTTAGTTTAGGTTAGGTTAGTTTAGGTAATTAGGTTAGGTTAGATTAGTTAAGGTTAGGTTGGGTTAGATTAAGTTACGTTAAGTTAGGTTAGGTTAGGTCAGAATAGGTTAGGTTAGGTTAGGTAGGTTTAGTTATGTTTGGTTATGTCAGGTTAGGTTATGCTATGTCTGGTTAGGTTAGGTCAACCTAACACTATCTAACACCCTAACTATCCTAATTTAAACTAACCTATACTAACCTAACCTAACGTAATCAGACGCAACTTAAACTAAAATAACCTAACCTAACCTAAACTGAGATAACATAACCTGGCGTAACTTATCCTAACTTAACTTAACCTAACCTAAACCTACCGAACCTAACCTAAACTGAACTAAATAACCTAACCTAACCTAAAATAACTTAACCTAACCTAACCTTTCATAACCTAACCTAACCTAACCTATCTTAATGTAACCTAATCTAACCTATCCTAACCTTACGTAACCTAACATAACCTAAACTAACCAAACCTTACCTAACCTTCACTAACATAACCTTACCTAATTATCCTAACATAACCTAACCTTACCTAAACTAACCTTACCTAAACTAACCTAACATAACTTAACCTCTCCTAACATAATCTAACCTAACTTAACCTAACCTAACATAACCTAAACTAACCTAACATAATCTAACCCAACCTAACCTCTCCTATAATAACCTAACCTAACCTAACGTAACCTAACATAACCCTACCTTAACCACCATAACCTAACCTAACCTAAACTACCCTAAAATAACGCAACCGTACCTAAACTAATTTTGTTTAGGTTTGGTTATGTTAAGTTAAATTAGGTTAGGTTAAGTTAGGTTAGGTTAGGTTATGTTAAGTTAGGTTAGGTAAGGCTTTGTTAAGTTAGGTTAGGTTAGTTTAGGTTAGGTTAGTTTAAGTAAGGTTAGCTTAGTTTAGTTTTTTAGGTTAGGTTAATTTAGGTTAAGTTAGGTTAAGTTAGGATAGGTTAAGTTATGTTAGGCTAGGTTAACTTAGGTTAGGTTAGGTTATTTTAGTTTAGGTTATGTTAGGTTAGGTTAAGTTAGGTTAGGTTAGGTTAGATTAGGTTAGGTTAGGTTATGTACGGTTGGATTATATTAGGTTAGGTTATTTTAGTTTAGGTTATGTTAGGTTAGGTTAATTAGGTAAGGTTATGTTAGGTAAGGTTAAGTTGTGTTAGGTTAAGTTTCGTTACGTTAGGTTAGGTTAGGTTAGGTTAGATTAGGTTAGGTTAGGTTAGTTATGATGTTAGTTAGTTTTAGGTTGACCTAATCTGACCTGACCTAAAATAACCGAACTTAACCTAACAATACCTAACCTAACCTGACATATCATAACCTAACCTGACATAATCAAACTTGCCCTAAACTAACCTGACCTAACCGAACCTGACCTGACCTAACCGAACCTGACCTGACCTAACCGAACCTGACCTGACCTAACCGAACCTAGCCTAAAATAACCTAACCTAATATAATCCAACCGTACATAACCTAACCTAACCTAAACTACCTAACCTAACCTAACCTAACATAACATAACCTAATCTAACCTAACCTAAAATAATACAACCGTACCTAAACTAACTTAGTTTAGATTTACTTAATTTAAGTTAGGTTAGGTTATGTTAGGTTAGGTTAGGTTAGTGTACGTTAGGTTGGTTTAGGTAAGGTTATGTTAGTTCAGTTTAGGTTAGGTTAGGTAGGTTTAGGTTAGGTTACGGTTGGTTAGGTTAGGTAGGTTCGGTTAGGTTATGTAAGGTTGAGTTAGGTTAGGTTAGATTAGGTTGGGTTAGGTTATGGTAAGTTAGGTTATGTTATGTTTGGTTATGTTAGGTTAGGTTATGATATGTCAGGTTAGGTTAGATTAGGTTATGTTACGTTCGGTTAGGTTAGGAAAAGTCAACTTAACACTACCTAACACCCTTATTAACCTAACTTAAGCTAACCTAAACTAATCTAACCTAACTTAAACAGTCATAACGTAAACTAACCTTACCTAACCTAATCTGACATGACATAACCTGACCTAACCTAACGTAACATACCTTAACCTAACCGAACAACCTAACCTATCCTATCCTAACATCTTTTAACCTAACCTAATCTAACCTAATTTAAACCAATCTAACCAAACCTAACCTATCCTATCCTAACATATTTTAACCTAACCTAATCTAACCTAACGTAAACTAACCCAACCCTACTTTACCTACTATAACTTAACCTAACCTACCCTAACCTAAACCTACCTAACCAAACTTAAACTGAGCTAACATAACATAACCTAAACTAATCTAACCTAACCTAACCTAAATAACGCAACCGTACCTAAACTAACTTTGGTTAGGTTTGGTTAGGCTAAGTTAAGTTAGGTTAGGTTAGTTTAGAATAGTTTAGTTTAGGTAAGGTTAGCTTAGTTTAGTTTGTTTAGGTTTGTTTACTTAGGTTAGGTTAGGTTAAGTTATTTTAGGTTAGGTTAAGTTAGGTTAGTTTAAGTTAGGTTAGGTTAGGTTAAGTTAGGCTAGGTTAGGTTAGGTTAGGTTAATTTATTTTAGGATAGTTTAGGTTAGGTTACTTTAGGTTAGGTTAATTTAGGTTAATTAACACGATTCGATCTTTCATAGCATAAATTCCACACCCTCACATTTTTCGAACGACATTTAATGCATTAATATTTTTAACAAAACAATTAATTTTGTGTAAACCAGAAAGATGTTTACCTCTCATCATGCACACGTGGCTAATCAGTTATACTGCGCTGAACCAACTGCT